TCTCAGGAGATCTTGTCTAAAGAGAAAGAGAAGGCATCAAGTTGGAGTGGTGGAGAGGATCTGGGAGGAGATTGAAAAGGGAAAACAGTGATCAGAATATATTGTAGGAAAAGAACTAGTTGAAGAAAAATGACAGACACAAAGAAAGAAATGTTGATGTGGTGTATACAAGAAACTGCAGAAATAAACAAGTACTGAAAGCTATAGCCCATTTGTGGCCCTGTACTGCTGTGAACACAAGTGTGAATGTCTGTGAAGCAGAGGAAAACCTGGCATCCTGAGTTCACAAATTGGTCAGGTCAGGATTACAGGTAATAGTCCAGGATAAGCTTTGGAACTTCAATTAAAGTTTTGTGTAGGCTGATGAAAGAAAGATGGATGTAGCACAAAAGGTCAGAGAAGAAGCAGGAATAGCCCACAAGGATGTTTTTGGTGTCATCAAAGTCACTTTGCAGTCTCTGATTCATCAGTGGCATCTCCAGCCCTATTCCCCATGTGCTTACTGGACAAATACACATGATGTTTATGTCAGAATGACCAAGTTCATGAAATGCTGCTTAGAGAGAGAGAGAGAGACCTTATGTCAGGACAAGATGTAGCAGGCATGTGTTTATGCCAGGAACCACAATTACAGGATGTGTTAGCAAATACAAAAGTCAGTGGGAATGACAGAGGTCTTATGAACCATGATATTAATGCCAGAGAAAATTATAAGCTTTCAAAAATATGTCTTGGCACATACTTTAAATCATAGCACCTGAGAGGCAGAGGCAGGTTGATCTCTGTGGGTTGGTAGCCAACCTGGTCTACAAAGTGAGTTCTAGGACTGCCAGGGTTATACGGAGGAACCTTGTTTCAAAATGACAAATATATATACTTAACATACATTGCTTGTCTAAAGTCCCAGTGACTGGGGGAATTCAATGAATCACACCAAATCCCTGTGAGCAAGGCAGACTGTGGATGAAACTGTGGTCTTGAGGACACAGAAACTCCACCTCAATCAGATCCTTCATTTACATCAAGCCACAGCCTCTTCCATGGTGAAGAGTCCTGGAACAGAGTTCCTGACCCCCACAATACAGGAAGGAATAGAGAAGAAAGTTTAAAGTAATAGCAAGTTGAAGATAATGGCAAGTCAAAAGTATTTGATTATTGAAAGGGTATCCTGAGATGTGACTTATTATCGGAGCTTCTCTTCACCCTTGAAATGACTACTAAAGTGTAGGGAGACATTCTAGCTCCACCCCAGATAACCTGGACAGGTGTGCCCGGAACACGCCCATGAGGGCGGGGTGAGGGGAAGTCTAAGGTGAAGTAGAAAAGGCTTCCTAAAGGACCTCAGACACAGACACGTGCCCCTTCCCTTCTACTTCTGGCCCTTCTTCTGGCTCCCTCCTCCTCGCTTTGGCCTGCCCTTGGCTGGTGTATACGAATAAAGAGACCTTGACCCTATTGACTGCTGATTGCTCACTTACAAGTGGCACCCAATGTGGGGCTCCAGCATCCTTGCAGGTCCAGCTCCGCGGGACCAAGGAAAACACAAAGTGAGTTGAATCCCCCAGCCCTTCCCGCCCAGCTCCATCTCCCAACTCAGAGTTTGCTCCTGCCATCCCCGCCAGCGCAACCCTGCCGGCTGGCCCATGCAGTCAACCTCCCCCAGCCTCTCCTCTGTCATGCACTACACTACACTACCACTAATTCAACACTAATTCAACAGACACGTGCCACTCCCTTTCTTCTTCTGGCCCATCTGCCAGCTCCCTCCTCCTCGCTTTGGCCTGCCCTAGGCCTTGTATCCGAATAAAGAGACCTTGACCCTATTTTCTGCTGATTGCTCACTTACACTAAAGTGTAACAGACTTGGTGTATAAGGATTCATTGAAGAGTCTGTACCTAGCTCAGAAGAGTCCTGACTAAGCCATATGGAAAGCAACAAAGAAACATAAAAACAGATTGTTTTTCTGCAAGGAAATTTATTTGAAAAGGAAAACAATTGAAGCTAAGTATAAGGGTAAACAGATCATGATGCCCCAGAGCACATGTTGGTCTTGTCTACGGTCTCAGAGGCAGCAGAGTACGGCAGGAAATGGACCTGGTTTGCATATCCCAGAAACACGCTCAGAACGTCTGCAGGATTTTTTTCTACATGAGCATGCCCTGCTTGGTGCAGCTGAGGAAACAGAGAATACCAGGCACTAAGTAAGGTATCCAGCAGTGTGCAATAGTATACAATACCATAAAGACACATGACATATGGTACAGAGGACATTTGTTGGTATCAGTGACAGCACACCCAGAACCAAGATCAACTCTAAACACTGGAAAATAATACATTTAAAAAGTATTGGTCACATGTGGATCCCACATTACAAACTGTTTTAAGCCTTCCTATAAAATAAAATGTGTTTTATATTTTGCAAAAAAAAAAAAAAACAAGTGTTGATCACATGACAGACTTGACAGGCGTTTCTGTTCCTTCACCTTTTTGTGTCTTCCTGACCCAACATAATCATACACTGGCATTTGTTTCCTAAAACTATTCTTTTAAGCAGAGAAGATTTTTCTTTCAAAAACAAAGTTAACAACTGGATAGACAAAGGGCTAATTAATATGCTCTATATTTTGAAACTATTCCACAGATAAATTTTTAGGTCAAAGTCTTCAAAAGAAAGACAATCAGTTATGCTTTTTTAACTTTGTCTATTACTTCTATGATTTAGACAGTGAAGATCATGGAGGATCATAAGAGAAACCTTTCAGAATCACACGGCTCTGCACAGGATTCCAGGGCACCCCTTCAACCCTGTCTCAGGAGACACCCAACCCACTATCATACTTGGGCATCACCACTCACCTTGACCTGGAAAAACAGAGACATCTGGGTCTCCAAAAGAGATGGACACATCTTGGTCTTCTACTCCTGGCTGCTCCTCATTTTTAGCCTCCTCATTTGCTTCTGGCAGAGGATCAGCCAGGGCCTGAAAGGCCAGCAGGACAAGGGCAGAGAGGAGGACAAGTGTCTTCATGGCTGAGAGTCACCTGGAGGAGCTGTGAACAAGAGCTCTGTGTGTGGGGAGTGAGGAGCCAGGCTGCATTTATAGGGCTGTCATGAGAAGGTGCAGACACAGGTTCTGTGGGAAGAGAGGGCACACACTGACGGAACTGGGAGAGACTGTTGTCCTCATGATTTCTTTGATGTTCTTCTGTTCTCACACCTGCTGCCATGCTGTTGGTCTGTGTGTTCAGTGACAACTCTCCCTGCTCCTTTCCAGCTGACAATGATGAAGCAGCATCAGCTATCTTCTCCTGTTTCCCATCTGCTTGAGTGTTTACTTTCTGTAGTGAGGAAAAGAAAGAGGTGGGCATTTCAAAGTTAGTAAACTCATGGAACAGGGTTTTTTTTTTGTTTTCTGAAGTGGGAGCTTGCTGTTCTTAGAGAGTGAGAATGCTGGAACACAAAAGGGGCTTTGACAGTCAGTTCTTTTAGTCGTTTACTTTCTGTAGTGAGGAAAAGAAAGAGGTGGGCATTTCAAAGTTAGTAAACTCATGGAACAGGGTTTTTTTTTGTTTTCTGAAGTGGGAGCTTGCTGTTCTTAGAGAGTGAGAATGCTGGAACACAAAAGGGGATTTGACAGTCAGTTCTTTTAGTAATTTGGAGTATTACCTCCCTCATGAAGGAAGACTTTGTGAGTTCCCTCCTTTGGGTCCATTATGGAGAAAGTAAGATGGTCCTGGTGTATCTAGTTCATGAGGAGTTGAGGGACAGAATGAGGCTAGAGCATGCTGTCTTGAAGAAGCTATGGTGACCTGAACACATCTCATGAGGGGAATTCCAGGTGCCTCTTCACACTTGGGGAGCCATTCAATGATGTGCTGTGGTTCCGTTTAAGATTGTGGTCATTTTACATTTAGGCAACAAGAATTAAGGCACAATAAACAATACAACACAATAAAGACTTTGCATGCCAGGAAATCCTCTTCCTGGTTTTCCATGAAACCAGTAGTCTTCACCATGACACTTTTCTATACTGAACTGTTACGTTTTCCCTAGTATTCATGTTGTGTAAAGAATAAATGAATAAGTATATCAAATTTTTCTCTTGCCTTAAATTCATGGTATCTGCTATGAATTCATTCATCAAATTGAGATCCTTTTCCAGTTTGTAGAATTTAGTGATTTCTGTGCATTTTTATTAAGTAAGAAAACATCAATGTATATCATCTTATGGATACATGTATAATAGAAAATTATAAATGTATCATCTAGCATAAAGGCCCCAATTGTTTTGATTACATATCTAGAAGCAGAAAATCTACATGACTCCAGTTAGTAGCAATTGCAAGGAGGATACAGCTTCCAGATGGAAAGTGAAATAAAGAAGTTCAAATGATTCTGCTAGCCCAATTGTGAGCCTCTTCTCTCTCATTTTGACTTAAAATTATTTATAAAAAATCAATGTATATTTGTTTAACATATATTGTAGGGATCAAGGAGACTTAATTTAAAAGAAAAAATAAAACAAAAACAACAGAATAGCTTAGAATTCAAGGAGAGGACAGAACATTCTAAGAAAAAGACACAGCAAAAAGAGAAGGTGGATATCTAGTGTCGGGGGTCTTGACCTGTGGTCAATTGGTTTTGTGCAGGCACTTCCTACACTCTGTGGGGTTTTCCAGAGCTCAGTGGCATGTGTGCTCAAAGGGCTATTCATGTTTGTTCTTCTATGGCTCTGGATGGAGAGCTAAGGGTTCTGACATCATAGAATGGGGACCACTTTCCCTTGAGGATGTCCATGCAGATGTGCCTTCCATATCTACTATGGGGTGGGAGCAGGGAGTGAGGAACTTCACCATGGGTCCATTGTAAGGGTAGGCACTGGAGAACTCTAGTGAGAGTTTATACCTCAGGTCTTGATATCCTGTGCACGCTGCTCCATGGATTGTCCCTACCCATTTGAACAGGTTGTCTGATTCAGGGAAGGTGGAAATCCCTTTGTCGACAGAAAAAAAAAAGTGTCATCAATTCCTGCTGTATTCTCTCATGCACAGGGCCACTTGTGGCAACCCTGCTGGGCTCTACTCCCTTGCAAATATCTGTCACACTGGCAACAGCTGAGTGGAGATTTTGTTAGAACATCCCAGGGTTGGCAGGGGAGCCTGACACAGGAACAGGAGTGCAGAGATGACAGGGCAACTCAATTTTCTCTTAATTTTCATGGACTCACTCACTAATGCATCTCACATGCAATAGCCTCACAGATTCTTCTGAAACAGTCTTATTGTGATAGAATGAATGAAGACAGCTCAAGAAGTAATATCAATGAATTCATTTTTGAGAACTGAAGTGAAAAACAAAGAGAAAGGCTATTCAAGAGATAAAATGTCAAGGAAACAAATTGTGCACAAAGAAAGCCAGACAACTGAAACTAAACTAATGAGGGCCAATACCATTTGTTTCTAGGAGACAGGCTACCACCACATGCTACAACCTCAGGATCTACAAATGAAGGAGAAGCAGACTGCCATTAGCTGTCCTCTGACACCCACATGTGTACTGTGGCACATGAGTGCTCACTAGACAAAGTTTCATGAGAAAGATGCCCCCAAGTTGGTAAATATTACTTCCATCAGGCAAAGATGTATTGCATTTGTGTATGTTGCAGAATACTTCTTTAGCTGGGTAAGGAATGTTACATTTCTTTATGCTGCATTTGTTTAACAATGGAAAGATGTGTTGCATTTGTTTCATTTTAACTTCCTAAGGCACCTGATAGGTTTAATAAAGAGCTGAATAGCCAATGGCTAGACAGAGAAGAGGGACAGGTGGAGCTGGCAGCAGAGAGAATAAAGAAGAGGTGAAATCTAGGCTCGAGAAGAATGAGAAGAGAGAAGAACAAGAGGATAGAACAGGGGAGAAACAGACAGAGATTCTGGGGTGAGCCAGGCAGCAGACAGAGAATTGGACAAGTAACAAGAAAGGTTAAAGGAAGGTAAAAATGCCCAAGGAAAAAGATAGAGAAACAGCTTAATTTAAGTTAAAAGATGTAGCCAGAAATGAGCCTAAGCTAAGTCATGATCTGGGAGACAGTTGTTGATAGAAAAGAAATGGCCTGGTACATTCCCCAGTTCAGTTACAGAATGCATGTTTTGTCTCACAGGTGGGTTCCCTAGTTTAGAGTATTCCTTAGAGCCTCAAAGAATTAACTTCATTTGCCCTTGGAGAAACATGGAAGAACTGCCAGTTCATATCCTAATTGAGAATTACTGTAGTTTGTGATAAGGAGAAGACATGTCCCTATTGAAATCCCATCTTCTCCACCAACATGGCATTGTCAACATATTGTCATCACTTATCATTATAATAAACTTCCAAACAAACTTCAGTAAGCAACCTATGGTATCATGGAAAACTACCCAAGATCTTTAAAATATCCCAGTCATCAATTAAACTTCAAAAGGAGAACACATGCTTACAGCCTCATAGCAGCCAGAGTTGTGGCAGGCCCAAGTTATGGATTCTTGCTGTGACTGTGGTCTCCTTTTAGAACATGGAAACACAGGGAAAAGTGTGTAAACTGGAGCTGGAGTCAAAATTCCTATATTGACTTCAAAATAAAAATCCATTAGACTTCACTGT